TGGAACTAAATACAAATAACTGAAATTGAGTTGTTTCAGGATCTCTGCCAAGACTTGCTACTTTGTGGGTGTCGAAGGGGATCGATTAAATAGCTTTTGAGAGAAATTCAAGGTGGTTCACAATTTTCTTTTGCTTTTCAAATGATCCAAACCACCCCAAGGGGAGAATTAAGTAGTGTAAGAGCTATAGAGGCAAAGTGCAGAAAGTCAGAACTTAATTGTGTATACTCATCAGCATAGAACCAGAATGAAGTTGAAAAGAAATTTTCTGATTAAAACTCATCAGTGCTTGCTTTGCTGTCAACATGCAGTCCTTACCTTCTTAAATGACAGCAGCTTCTTGGATTTGTGGGTAATTTATTCATTAGATTAAGAGGCAGAGAGATGCAATAAAATTTAGTATGACTGTGGTGTGAAGGGTGGGTCAAATTTCCCTCTTATATATACATCTCCAAAAAAATATAGTATGAGAACTGCAAATGATTGTGTAAAATACAACTTCTGTCACTGGGAAATCCTTACAGTTAATTGTAAAAGTAATTTCACATTGAGTTTTAAAAAGTTTAAATTAGACAAAATTCACACAAACTATGTACATTGAAACCATGAAACTACATTTTATTAAGAAAAGTAAAAAAAAAAGTATGCTTTAGGCTTTTCTATATTCTATGTTTGGATATACTGTAAGTTTAACCTTGAAATTAAACTCATATACTCAGCATAAACTCTTAGAAGTACTTGAGAAAATACACTATACTGTATGTACATGTATAATACACTAAATACTAAATATATATTTTACACCACTGTCCTAATTGTTTTTACACTACTCAACTGAAATGTTTTTTGGCTGGTACAGCCCATTTACAATGATTAAAATGAATATCTCAATGAATGAATAAAATAAAGACTGAATCTTCACCAAATTATTACCCAATTAACAACACAAAATGAGTTTGTGAGTTCACAGATTGCTATAATAGTTGCAGACAAACTCTCAGCTGTTAAATATTCAACAACTGACACACACAGCTGGAGAGAACAAAGTTGCCCACCTGGAAGACAGCACCCTTTGAACCAAACCAATACAGCCAAATTATTTTTTCAGAAGATACTGTACAGTATGTCTGTGTGAAATTGTCCAGTCACTTTTTATTTAAAAAAAGGTTGTATGGTTTACAACTTTGGCACTTTCAATATTGGTATTAAGGTATAATGAGCTTAAGAGAGATCACTTTGTTGGCCATACCTGTATACAATTTCTTGTATTAGGAATTTGTTTTTTTCGCATACCCCAGCTTGCTCTCCATGAGACACACAGACAGGCAGAAAAACTTGGGGTAAGAGTACAGGGTCAGCCATTTATACAGCACCACTGGAGCAGTTTATGTTAAGGGCCTTGCTTAGGGGCCCAATGGAGTAGGATTCCTCCACCAGCTGCGGGATATGAACCGGCAGCCTTTCAGCCAGAGGTGCAGATCCTTAGCCACAGAGCCACAACAACACCCTGGTAATAAATTACTTTAATAGTTCATTTATATTTTGAGTGGTTTAATGTGTTTTATAACTAATAGCTCAGGTAAACTTACAGCCTTGGTTTTAGTTTACACCAGTATAACATTCAAACTATATTTTTAATCTCCTGACTTGTCTGGTGGATCACCTTGAGTTTATTGTGATCCTGGTTACAGATATGAAAGCTGTCATGAATCATATTCTCAAAGATCAGAGTCAGAGAGGAAGAATGTAATCTCACTTCCTATTGATAATTACATCTGGCATTTACGTCATTCACAAAGTGTACCATGTGTCTCATCTCGGTATGGTAAGGTTTTTTCTGTGTGTTGCATTGAGATGCTACCCAGATCAATATTGGACTGCCAGGCCATGCCAGTTTCTCCAAGTGTTTAAAAACTAAGGGTTTGCATGATAACTTTTGACATGTTAATACCCCATTATTGCAAAATACAGTAGGATGCTTGGGAAGCAATCACTCCATGGTAGAGGGTCTTACTTTTGACTTTGGCTCAGTCAAGGACCTTTGCATTCAATAGTATAAAACAAAGTTTTTGCTTAAGATAATTCTTATTTTGAAGATAATGATCTGGAAATAGAGTGAGGTTTTCTTAAGCAGGTTAAAAATGTTCAAGAAAAGATAATCACTTTTTATTAAATTTCCTGGATAGCCTAATGTCTTCTGTGTACATCTTGGCTGAACTATTGTTTAAACAGCAGCAGCAGACCCAGCCATTTTCTAGTGTTGAAATCCCATAGCACTGTAAATATTCCCATAGTTTGAGAGGAAAAGGAGGAAACAGTGTCAGATGCTGTGCAAATAAAATCCACATTTTGCCTTTAATTTTCCAAATTCTATAGTTTGGACATCCAAGATGATAAGAAAAAATGTGCGAGATTTCTCCAGTATCTTCATTTTACTTTGCTTTCTTCTGAATCAGTTCCGAGGTAAGGGAGGGAGATTCAGATATCACAAAATATAAATTTCTTGATTTTGATCACTTGGCATTGATGGTATTCCTCCTAAAACTCTTTACTTAAAATTCTAGACTACAAACCTTCAAAAATAGCGTTAATAGGCAGCAAGTGTTTTTTCTTCTTTGCTTTTTCTGAGGGAACTCATCAGGGATACCAGCTTTCATCTCTGTTGTTTGTCTTGTCTTTGGAATCTAGTTGAAGCTCAAGCTACCCATCAATCTGTTGGTTTTATCTCTGCCCTCGTGTCTATTAACAAAATTCAGCGTTGTATATCACTCAATGCTTATGATAAATTGTTATATGCAGAATATGTCACCTAGTGTCTCTCTGCCTCATCTGCTATATCTGATGATTTACATGCTCTACCATCCATGTTCAGGTACTGAGATATAAGTCCACAATATATTTTGTAATGATTCTGGTAGGTACATGACTACATCTTAGATTCTCTGTGTTATACCATAAAAAAGATCTATGAGATCTTAGGTTCATCAAGCTTTCATATCCCTTCAAATATTCCTTAGTTACACTTCTTCCTGCAAAACAACAACTCTAATACACAGTGTTAGTTTCCTATTGGCAGAAATAAATCTGGTTGGGTGGCCTCACTGTGGCTTAAAAGATTTCATTGGGTACCTGTACATCCACATTAGCTCTTGGTAATAGCATTTAGCTTTATTAAATGTTATTTAGATGGAGATTTCAGTCCATGGTACCAGGGGCAGTGGAGGTATTGAGTGCTGCTTCTGATATGGTCAAGTCTTTATTATATTATATTTTTAACAATTTTGGTGTGATTTCACTTCTGGAGCCTCTTAATTTGGATGTTTGGAGGGAGGTATCATGATTGGTAAGTTGGAAAAATTTATGAAGTGAGAGAATTTTTTTTCTTCACTTGATTTACAATATGATAAAAAAGATGTTTCCATTAACTATCTACATTAACCCGTTTCACCTGAAAATGGTAATACAGTGTAAGAGATACAGTTTCACTACATAAAGAATATTTCTGGGTGGAGGTGCTGAAGGAGAACATCCAGACTAAAGCCTGGACAGAATTAAAAGTCCTTTTCAGCCAAATAAGCGAACCTGAATGTTTAATCTGGAAGAGAGAAGTTTACACAGATATTTGAACCAGGTTTTCAAGATCCTGAATGATACTATTTGACCTGGAGATATCTTAGAAGTCAACAGGGATATCAGAACCTGGGGAAACAATTGTAAATTAAATGTACTGTATATATCATTTGCGCTCAGCATTAAGGACAGAAACCAGAAGGGGGTACAAAGTGAAAGATGTTGAAATATGAAATGTTGTTGAAGCTGCCTCCAAGGGGTCCTTTAGGAAATGGCTTCATGGCATTCTTGGATAATGAAAGCATAAAGAAAGGTTACAATGAGAAAAGACCATCTGGCTGCTAATGGCTTAATGATCCAAAAATACCATCATGCCGTTTTAAAGGATCCCTTAGTGGACAGTTTAACAATTTGGATAGGAAGTTTGTTCTAGACTTTCATGACCCTCTGTGTGTAGGTGTCTCCTGTGTACTGTCCTGAATACTCCAGAATTTAATTTCCACTTATATTTACTATTATATATTGAACTTGAAGAAGATAACCATATGGACTTGGTCAATGGCTTTTCACAACACAGGAGTTTACATACCCCCAATTAAACAAAAAAAAGGTATCATATAATGAAAGTATAGCATGTGTTCACAGGAAAAAAAAACAGTCACTTTTTGTTATAAAATACTGCATGATCTTAATCCTAATGATGTTGTTAATTATTATGCAGTATATAAACAAGTTGTTTTGATATAAGACAGATAATGTTGTGTGTTGCAAAGCAGCATGGCAAAATCAGTACACTGCATCCAGGTATCTGCTTAAATATAAAATGTTATAAAATGGATAATTATATTTGAGCCTTAAGATAATAAATATAACACAACTTTCCAAAATGTTCAATTTAAGATCCTAAAGCAAGACTGTCCTGCTTTTTCTTTTGGGACACTTCAGCCGCCTCAACTTCTCCAGTACCAGTTCAATATTTGACCAAGGACTGTCATCTGGGCAAACTGAGACACTGATATTGCTCATTTGTTATTCATGTAAAGTTTCTAGGACCCAAAGAACGTGTATTGAAATCAGTTGCTGGATTAATTTTAAAAATGTGTATTTTTATGGAAGACCGGGTTATGAACTTTTTCAGTCAAATTTGCTGTTTCCAATTAAAATTGTGCCCCTTTCAAAAACGAATCCTATTATTGTGTTAGTCATTTGTGCTTATGCTAATGAATAAAGTGCAGTATCTATACCACACAGATAATACAGCTTTCTTTTACAAAAACATTATTTGAGAACATTTTTTAAAGCAAAATACCAAGTTAGGCTTTACTTTATGTTTTTCTCCATGGTTCGAAATTAAGTATGGCAAATCAATTTATATTTTAAAGGAAACCCACATCACATAGTGTACTGTAAAGCTAAAAACATAGGCCTACCTTATTTGGGAAAATCTGTGCTGTTTTCATCTCCTCTGCAACAAAAGTAGGGACTGAAAGATTCTCTTTTAAGTACGTTGTGAATGTCTCATTTTCATTTAAAATGTTTTTCAGTAGTATTGGCTGACCTAGTAAACAAACAAAAAAAGTTGTTAGAATCAACACCCAAAACCACTCATACTCACACAACTTTCATAATGCTTGCACATGGAAGGGGAGGAATTCCATTATTTAGTAGTTCACTGAAGTGGGATCTCTGTGGGATCCAGGGACTTTCCTGCCTTCTGATCGTTGTTTGCCAAGATAGGCTCTGGCTCCCCTGCAATCCTGAATCTGATGTGAGAAAATGGATGAATGGATGGATAAAGTGGGATTTGCCAATGAAGCATGGATTCTGAGGATTTAGGAAACCTGCCACAAATTCAGATTTGGATGAATCTCAATTTACAGCAGGTTCATTAGTCCTGGAATGTGGAAATTCTACTCATTCATAGTTTGTAACTGCTGCTCTAAATATGTCTTGATATTTGGTTATGTAAAAAAATCTCCCTGTATAATTTCAGTGATGGAGCAAAGTCACAGTTGGGTGTGCCCCAAATCTTGTCTTTTTAGGAAAGAATTCCATTTAACCTCTCCTGGCCTGGCTGTTTCTTTGAACAAATTTCCTTTGCCTTGGTGGATCAATATAGAATGGAGTGGTTGCAATCACCTTATTAATTTTATATTTATTTTAATGTGACTTTGTTCTCTGCAATGTTATGAAGATGACAACAAACATTTTTTTGACAAGCTACATCCCAATCCATAAGTCATTCTTTTTTGTGATGTTTTCTGTTCCTATCTAGAGTATGAATAAATCCAGAAAGCACTGCAGTTATTTATCTCCATACTATTTTATTGAGCTAAGCCATTTGTAGTACTGTTTGTACTAAGCATGATTGCAAAAACACATAAAATGGGTGTGTAATTCACTTGTGCAACATTAATAAAATGAAATTGCTTCACTATTGTTGTCCTTTATATTTATTGATATCCCCTAGTTAAAAGAACCATACTGCTCCATTCTTCAAAGTGTTTATGATGTAATAACATTAATCTATGTCTAAAATGAAATAAATGTTTCCAACACTAAGATGAATACTCATTTTCAAAACACTATCAATATATGACTGTATTAAGTAATGTAGCAAGTTAAATCCATCAGTGTGACAAAGCAATGCTGCAAGCCAGTTAAATGTTGGTTTCTAGCATGTGGTGCAATTATTTTATTGACCAGCATTACTCCCTTTACTTGATTTGCACCTCAAATACTTGTGCACGTTATCTACTTTAATAGTTCAGGTGGGTAGCTGCATAAGCATACTGTACATAGGCTAAAAAGGAACAAGTAATAGGTTTATTCCATGTTGAAAAGGCTCCACAGCCGAAACATTGTGTTTTCTTTCTTCTTTGCAGCATGGAATAAATCTATGACTTGTTCCTTAACTAATTGTAATATGAGCTCATCTTTGCTTAGATCATCAATTGTGTGTGCCGTGCATTTTATGCTGGTAAAGCCCAAGACTTCACTTCTCCAGGACCCTAAATGCACAAAAACACAAAATGTGTTAAATAAGCACCAGTGCTGAAACATACAATAACAAAATATCACCACATTTAATTTTTATTCCACAGCAAAACCTGCAACTGAAATAGCTGTGTGACATAATATTTATAGGCATTTAAATCAGCTTATTATTGGTGCTCATATAGATGTCAGGGCTGCATTATATATATGAAAGACTTTACAACTAGGCAGTAAACTCCTTTGTTCAATAAAGAGAACAAAAATCAGTGTGTTTTGCCATTAGTTTGGAAATGCTGATGCTGATCCCCTGTTTTGTATCTTGCTTTTTGTGTTAGAGTTTGCTTTTTTTTTCCTTTTTCAGTTTGTGCATTTACCTTATTAAATAATTTTTTAACAAAGTTTTTTCAACACTCTAGAAAAATAAACAGCACAATGAGTGTAGGCATTTCAATATGTTCTGTATTGACACTGTTTCAAACAATGGAGCTTTTAGGTTTTTACAGACTATGTAGTAATCAAAACTAAAAATAGAAAATATATTTATTATGAAGAAAAATTATGTTTTAAAACTAAATGACGGCCATACAGTACACTCACCTTAGGACTAACAAGAAAACATAAAGTATTAATCCTACCACTTAACATGGTATTACCACAAATTTGTAATAATATTATAAGTAATATTGCTAGTCTGCACTAATTTGAAACAGTGAGATTGATCAAGTATAAAAAGCCCAAATAAGCACCATAAAAGAATAAACACACTTACAAAAAGAAAAGTCCTCTTTGTAAGTGTTCTCATATTTTTACATTTCTACATAACTTCATAACATAGACTGAGATAATTCAATCCAGTATTTTTGTTTTTCTTGTGATTTTTTATTGTGTTATAGAAAGTTCAGGACAGGGTTGCACAGTGGTTAGCAGTACTCTCTTCCAATTCCGGACCTACTGTAGTTGCTATCGGTTCTTCCAGTTATCGTGTAGGTTTCCTAATGGTGCCCTGGTTTCCTCCCACAGTCCAAAGACATACAGTACAGTACTGGTAGGTTAATTGGCTTCAGGAAAAATTGGCCCTGGTGTGAGTGTGTGCGTGTCTGTGTTTTCTGTCTGTGTCTACCCTGTTGGATGGCACAGGCGTCCCATCCAGGGTGTATCCCGCCTTGTGCCCATTGTTTGCTGAGATAGACTCTGGCTCCTCCATGACTTTGAATTGGATCAAGTGCTTAGAAAATGGATGGATGGAAGTTTCGTGTATTCCATGTCTGTAAAACATTCTACGTCAAAACAGCACTGATCACAGATTATTTTTCAGGACACACCCATCTAAAGTGTGGATTAATAGAGATGTACAGAGTTCTTCAAATCTGCATCATTAGAATTGCAAATGTTTTTTTTTTTAAGTGGAAACACTCAGTGTACAGTATAAGAAATACAATTTTGGAAAACCACTCCTACCTGTTGTGCATTAAAGGTGGTATGTCATAGACATGTGCAATAAATTTCAACACTGCTTAAGTCAGATTCTTTTACCAGAATAATATGAAGGAAATGAAGCTTCATTAAAACATTGTCTGTTTGATCTCAGTCACACTCTAGTGAATTATGAAGGGTACTTGAACTGCATTTTCCATTGGCTGTTAGTGATGTGATGGTAATCATGGTTGATTCTGCCTATTTGACACTGATTCTTTCTTAACCTGTCCAATTTCCTTTTGTGGAGATCCACAGATATAAACTGTTAACTCCAAAACAAGCCAGGAAACTGACCAAGCATGAAAAGTACATATTCTTTATAAAAACAAAGTTTTGATGGTGAAAAAGAATTATTTCTCTTTGGGCACGACAAAAAGATGTTGCATACTTTATAATTACAATATTTCATTCAGAGCTTAATTTAATCAGCCATGCTTTATGTTCATCTTCCCTTTCTCTTTGCAATGCTGCAAATATAAAGATACAATAAATATCTTTAAAAAGCAGTCTCTTTTATCATTGGAAAGCCATGCTTTTAATTTTCTCTTTCTCCAAAGACCTTAAAAAGAATTGGCAAGAATAAGACTGACATACAGAATTGCTCATAGGTGTACTTTGTACTGCAATATTGTATTTATTACCATTTTAATATCCCTTAATGGTTTCCCTTTCATAGACTCTACATTATCTCAATAAAGAGGGATCCTTTAAAGCTTTATTTTTTGTGTAAGCGGCTCACTACAAAGGGCTAAAACAGCCTTTTAAAGTTTATTTCTGCAACCCCTAATTGTTTGTTTTCATTATGACTCTTCAAGTGAATTTTCTGAAACTAAATTCACAAAATATAGTGAATACAGAAGTGAAAACACTTTTTTAAAGAAAAGAACACTGTCTGCAATACGTTACTCAGAAATACATACAGTATGAAGGCATTTCCCTAAGAACCTTCCCTAATATCCTCGGATCAAACTTTCAGCAATACACCTGCTACAGTACCTTGGTCAGCCAGCTTCCTCTTGTTTATATTTTATGTTGCTAAAATAGAATGCAGTTAGTCTATGCATGTTATTTTGACATTGCAAATGCCAAAGAAAAGAAAGGTAACAGAAAAGGTTATGTGCTTTAATAACTGAAAAAGGAGAAGTATAGAAGAACAGTGCAGATACATTTAAATGACTATTTAATTGAAGTCTTCTTTAATGAACCCACAAATACTCCTGCAGCTCAGATAAAATTAGACAAATTTGACATTTGGGAAACTGATGTTTACAAATTGAGGACAACTAAGATGAGCATGTCACTAGAATCTAATACATATATACATTACTTTTCTGGGCTTGCTCAATCTGGCTTACCTTAAAGCCTCCCCTTAATTGAAATGCTGAAGCAATTCCTCAGTTATTTGCCTGAAGTGCTGTGTACTGGGGCTGCTGGCACATAATAGCTACCATGTGTCAGCCAGATGGGTGTTGCACTCCAGTGGTGGATAAAGAAGTGGGGCTCCTATTATACTGTATGTACAGTACAATATTTTGAAATGAGAAGTACTACTGTATATAAACCACTAAACTGTTATATTATTATCATGCAATTGTACAGTAAATGCATAATATTATGCTATTATAAGGTAAATACAATATCTATACACATGGTAAAGAGTGCAGAATACAGTAAAGAATGTTAAAGTTTAGACTTTGTTCTGTTCTAGTTAGGCCACATGTGGAAATGCTGCAAACACTTATCTACACTGTCAGAAGACTATTGAAGACTATTGAAGCCCAGAAGGTCTAAGAAGATCAGGAAGACTCACTCTCAGGCTTTAAGCACTCAAAAGCACAGACTGAAGGAATGTGATGTTTTTCAGTCTCGAGAGTCAAGTCTGTCAATTTTGTTAAATTTTTAAAATATTAAAGGAAATAAATCTTTTTGGCATCAGTGTGTTTTTTTCTGAGTTAAGCTTAAGACAGAATGTGAAGACATATATGACAGCTTGTTAAATTTTGCATTCATTCTTATTTTTTCACAGGCACACGATCAACACATGACACACATTAAGATGTGTTGTTGAGACGTGGATCCTTTAAA